AAGTGTGCAATTGAAAATAAATTTAAAAAAAAAACGAATTTTCAGATAATGAGACTTAGTCCCTGCTTGACAACCATTATTTGGGTGAAATTTAGTTTTAAATAATGACTTTTTGGAGAATATGTAATTAAAAAATAGGAAAAAGTGTTGGATGTATGTAAAAAATATTTTATAGTGTAAATGTATGGTTAAAAATAAGTATGTAAAAAAAAAATTGCATTTTTGATAATTTATATTTTAAAGTAGCAATTTCGATATGTTGCAGCGTCACCTCCCTCAACCCCACCACCAATAATGTTTTGTGTACATTTTGGTGTTCACTAAATTTAATAGTTTGTTATGTGGCATCTTATTGTTCATTAATTTAAAAAGAAATAATTGTTTCGTTTCGTCCATAATTTTTTGAAAATGAAGATATATATATATATATATAGTTGATTTCAAAGCTATATCTAATTAAATATGCAAAAGCGAAAAAAAATTATGTATAATAAAATTATTAAAAACAATTATATTTAGATAATAACCAATAAATTAGCAAAAAGAGAGAATGAGACAATAAGTAATATTTTTAAGTTACCATTATTATAAGTCTCCCAAAAATTATTTCTTTTCTTTGCAAAGAATCATGTTTATTCCCAAATAATTGAACCCAAAAGATATTCTCAATATTCTTCTCAATTCTTCCACAATTATTTCAATCATTCTCACATTCAACAACGCCAAAATATTTCTAGAATCATGAATGTGATTAAAAAAAAAAAAAAAGATAATAATAAATAAATTGACATTCTAATTTGCAGCTTCTACCTAGAGTTATTCAATTTTTTTTTTCCCGAACACTGATATGTAATTTTACACGTTTCATTTATCTCTTTATAAATTTGTTGAGATTTTTAAGACAATAATGCTATCTATCAAAGTGATATTACATTTAAGTAAATCTATAATTTAATATCGAATATTTACCGTGGTGCTTGACATCCGTTGTATTTGAATATCATTACTCTCTTTTAAAGGGGAAGTGTTTGAAAAATCGTGTTGAAATTTCTCTCTCAAAAAACTTTGTAGCGTGGCTGTGTAGTCCCTTGACGCTGCCGCATCACACTAGCTTACTTTACTTTTCTCTTCAATCCCAAGCCTTTTCCATCTCCACTCACCTCACAGCTTAAGGTTTATCGGTCTTACATACCCTTCAGAAAAAAACCCATTCTTTCTTTTTCATTTTTGGTGAATAAGTAATAATTATATAGACTATAATATAATGTTTGATTTTGGTGATGAGTTGATAATTGAGAGCTACAAAATCCCATGGCTAATATGGATTCAGCTTCTTGCAACGATTCTGTTTATCATCCTTCTTTTCGGAATCAGCGTCTGCACTTCAGACTCCGCGGCCTCCTCCGCCTCCACCAGCATCTCCGCTTCAACATCAACGGGCCGCGCCGCCATTGCCCCACCACCCAACCTCAACGACCCCAGTTCTTCTCAAAGAGTCAAGGTCAGTTATTTTATTGCTTTCTTTTCACTCCTTTTTCGAATTTTGCATTATAGTTTTATTAGTTTGACTAGAAAACTGAAAAGGGAAATTCTTGAATCTATAGATAGGAATAAAGTTTGAATTTTGTGCTTGAAATTAATGTTTGAATTTGACTATCCAAGAGGTGTATAAAGTTTTTGATTATTAATCTTTATTTTCTGTAATTTCTGTATTCGGCACATCGTTTTTACATTTTAGAACAAGGTGGCGATCCTTTGATGGGATAAAAAATCATAGAATTCTGATATCCTGTCATTCCCAAGAAGCAGATTGTTTTTTAAGCCATGCTTGGGTAATAGAACCCCTACAGAACACACACAAACATGGGTGGGGTTGGGATTTTTGGGGTCATTTTTTAATGAGGTGGGACCCACCTCATGTGAGGGATCTGAAAAACTTATGTGGAAATGGTTATGTACATCCATCAAAACTCTCGTTTTTTATCGAAACTTTTGAAGGGCACGTTTGATACGCTGGCATAACGGACAAAATTTTAGCTTCCGTTTTGCATTTATAAATTGGTGCAACGTCATTTTCACCCCGCACATTGCAATGCGCCATGAGTACCATCTCCTTTCTATCTATTTGTAAGTTTAAACATTTATAAATTCTTTTCAAACAGAGACTTATTAAACTACAGCTGTTTGTTAGGCTGCCTTTGATTGCATTATAAAGATGACAGAATTGTCTACTGTTAAAGATTCTTGAAAGTTTATCCAGGTGTCCCATTTTTTATTGTATTCCTGTCAGCACAGCTGTTTTTTTATAGTTCATTTAAAGATGCTTTGAGATTTTCACCTGGGAGAATTACAACCTTGACACTGTACCAAATATGCATTCGATACAATTTGGTAACATGTAGTGTAAGAAATCAGTTTCTAATCATCGAGGTAGAAGTATTCTATAGTTGGAGATTTTAGCGGTACAAATTGTCATTTTTATTGGAAATTTGGGATTGTGTGAGGCTAATTTAACCGTGATCGGCTACATTGGTGGCTCAATTTAATCGTATTAGCATCTTCTAGGCATGTATGTTCCCTATTTTTGAATAATTATTTCTCAATGTCTCTATGTTTGTGTTTTCATGGAACACAGTTGATATTGGTGCTTATATTTAGCTTCTAAGATTGGCCATTTGCTCAAAGTGCAATTGCATAATCTTTGTTTATTTTTGTTATCTATTACCAGAATGTGTAACAAAAGAAGGTAAAATGCACCTATGGGATGTGTTTTATTTGAAGTGAAAATTTTGATAAATAAATAGGTTTATGACATCCAGTTCCCTAATCCATGGGGTCGATTTTCAGGGGTCATCACCTCTCTACCAAGACTTGTATATTTTAGAGACAGCAAACTGGATGCCCACTATAAATGAGCTACTGTGATGAAATATAATTTTGCACGAAAGATCCGTTTACCGTTGCCATTAACTTTTGATGTTCTTGAGCTAGCATTAGAGATCATAATGTCTACTCGATTAGCAAAGTGAAAAGATCGGTAGCATCTAAGCAACATGCTAATTTGATGAAGTTCTTGAATTATTTCAATTTTCAATAGATTGAATCCAGTAAATAAACCTTCTTTAGGGTACACATAAAATAAGATATTTTCAATTTCTTGTATATAAATTCTACCAGGAATTATATTTTGCGTTGATTATTAGAAGCCAGTTTCATTTCTGAGTATGTTATCTGCCTCTTCATTAGAAATATGCCATATGATGGACAACGAGAAAGTGGTTAAACTTTTTGTACTGTCAGGAGGAGGAAATCCAACAAGTCGATAGGAATGGAGAAGCAAGTGGAGGGACAATCATAGATGTCGACCAAGGTCGAGATGAACCTTCATTGAATGATTCTGTGCTTCAGAGGCTTTTTAAGCATCCAGCCCATCCTTGCAACTATCTTGGACTAGCTAAACAATCATTCCTCAAGTGTCTTGGATTAGATACCAGCTCTAAGAGCCGAAGCAACGAAAAGCATAGGAAACAAGACTAACGTATGCTCTCTCTTTTTCTCGCGCGCACACACATTTACTTAATTCAAATGAATCCCTGTTTAAAATGAGTAGAAAGAAGTCCTTTTCGTTCATCTAAAAGCATAATCTTCGAAAAATTCATATAGTGAATGTAACGAGAAGATGGAGAAGTACAATATCCAGGTTTTAAACTCTTCAATCTGTAAATAGTGAATGTAACTGTAACCTTTGTGACTTTAAACCATTAGCTCTTTTGCATTTAACTGGACTTGTTAGTCTTCAGCTGACAGAAATGTTCTTCTTCTAACCATTATAGATTTACAGTGAGCAAACCCAATTCTTAAATTTACCATTCCTTTCGTGATAAAAAAATGAATGTATTAAAGAATTAACAATGTGGCCTTTCACCTTTAGATGAGTGTTATAAATAACTTCGTCTAAATCTGAATGGCCTTTGCCAATAAAGAAAAAGGCAGAAGTAAATTTATCAAAAGCCTAATAATCGGACTGTTGTTTTTATACACTGAGAAAATGACAATTTAAGCATTTTTTTTCTTGAAATTTGATGTGGGGACAATAAATACAAAATTTTCTGCTGACATGGGAGTAAAAGTATAGCTTGAAAATTGATTAGAAAAAAAAAAAAAAAAAATCATTTGACGTTACTATACTTTTACTCACATGTCAGTCAAAAACTTGTACTTCAACTTTTCTAATCGGGAAATTATAGTTTCAATTGAAAAACTTTAATCAATTCCATCACTCAAAAGTACAGAAATCGATGACGCGATATTCAATATATGATAGAAGTCATTTATATCACTAATGAAATTGATCTCCTATATTGAATAAAAACTTTTCACTGCTGATATAACAAGAAAGTACCGTAAAGTTTTTTTTGTTACATCAACAATAGAAAATTTTTTATGCTGGCCACTTAAAGCAGGAGATCAGGGCAGTATCAATTTGATGTGGGGACAATAAATACAAAATTTTGACTGACATGGGAGTAAAAGTATAGTTACGTCAAATGATTTTTTTTTTTTTTTCCTATCACATTATCTTACTTGAAAGTCGAAAGAAATATTTATTCAAAGACCAATTTAAAACATAATATAAGTACATTAACTGATTTATAAGACAAAAAGTAAAGCGTCTAGTGTACAACTTCGTTAAAATTTCATCAATGATCATCGACGATATGATTGCTTGTGATTTTGATTGAAGATCAATATCCATTGGTAATGTAATTGAAATTATCGATGACAATACTTCTAGTGATTTTCAACGCACTTGTAATTACCCTATTGTTAGTGAGAGCTTGGAATGCCATGGTAGTTTACAATATTACCAAGCATTTCTAGTCCATGTCGTCGTTAAAAAAGCAATTGTCCATACACATTTATTATTTTCATTAAAAATGATTAGAAGGAAAGGAAAAGAAAAAGAAAATGTGAAACAGAAATCGAAAAATGAAAACAGCAAAAGAAAAATATAGGGGACTCTAGCAAAAATGTTCTAAAGTGCGAATGTTGGCCTTACCACCTAATCACCTCACTTTTTCACATGTAGACATTCGTTTAGTTCGTAAAACTTGAAACTTGACACTGTAACTTGATCACATTTTATACTTCTTAGAACATTGAACTTGACACATGGCTTTCCAAATAGAGAAAGGTCTTCGGCGAAGTATAATGGCTTAGACCCCCCTTGCTGTTTTCATAGTCAACAAGAGTGGGGTGTCTCCTCGAGGCAGGGATTCATCGTTCGCTTGATTGGTAAGGTGGCTAGATTTTGAACCAACCCTTCGTCTAGCCTCCATCTTTATGTGAACCTCCCACATTGGCCCTCTTTACACTCGGTTTCATCTTTACGCCAACCTCCCAAGCAACGCGAACCTCCCTAAAGTGATCCGGTTCGTGGGTCATAATGAGGTGGCCTCATACTCACACTCATACATGGTGTTCTTAGTCTCACGTGGCCGTCCATGCACACCAGATTACTGTACATGTTCAAAACTAATTTCATCATGAAAACCAAATTTATAATGGAAACTTCTTTTACAGAAATCGATAACCTATCTTTTGAGAGATGTACGCCAACGTGGAAAGAGACGCTTTGTAAAGATTTACACACAACTCAGACAAGAGAAAGGGTGTGGTGTCGAAACGATTTTATTTCCATTTGCACCTCGAATAGTTACAAAATAATACCCTCAGCTTTGGCTACAAAATTCATACCTCCGATATGAACTAACCCAAAAGTTTCTACGTCACGTACACCAGAATATTTAGTATCTACACTAGTATCAACTATCCAAAAATTTAAATAACTAACAACATTTTTCCTTTCCCTTTTCTTTTTTCCGCCTCTCTCTCTCTTAACAATCACTACTAGTTCTATTTCCAAAAAACTTGCCAATTTCAGACCAGCTAACAAAAACTTACCTGCAGTGAGAGACTTCAGGGAGCGTTTGCATCCTTCCTAACAACTTCTACAACTGTTGCATTGCAAAAGAAGCATCTTTGGCAATTGAGGAGGTGCCTCGATATACAACCATAGCAAGAAACATGGGAACACGGTACAAATTCAGCATTCGCTTCACAAGCATAACATATGCAACACATGCCATCATCAGCATCTGATTCTCCCTGACAAATTCTCGTCTGAACTTTTTGCAATTCTGCCTGACAGATCAACTGGCTTGAAAACTTTTCTAGTCGTGCTAATTTTCCAAGATGATCGTCCCCTCTGAATGAGCCCGCCTGGCAAATTGACGAAGAAGATTACGAGTAATAAATTGGCAAGTCCCACGTACAGAAGTTAAAGACAACAGACAAGTCATCATTCAGAATGTTCAACAGTAAGACATTTTTATTTTTTTATTTTTAGGAGGAAAACAAGTAGACATCTCAACCAAAACCTGCCAAACAAGTGTGTTTTGGTTGACATCACTGTGGTTACTGCTTAGACCTCTGCTGTTCTAATTTAAAAATGTGCTTATAGAATTGGTCATGCTGCAGAATATGATGTTACGTTAACTGGCAACTATGTGCCCTTAAGCAGACACTTCAATGGTGTGACCCAGTGCTCTGACACTGACAAGCAAGGTATGCAAAGTTCAAACTTACTTCACCAATCAGGCATGGATATCTGAATATAATGTAAAAAGTTAATAAAATTAAAAACTAATGAAAACTAATCAAGCGCTGTCTCAGTAATGAACGGAAAAAATCTACGCAACAATATACTTGAAGTGAAGATGTTCTAGACCCAGTTTTTTCTTTACACAGCCAAGACAACAAATGGCTTGTCCTCAGAATCCAGCATTGGGAAATTTTAAACCTCAAGCAGTGATCCTAGGAGTGCCAAAAACAAAATAAAGATAACAATTGCATAGAGAACCTAATGCAACTGTCTGGACCCTTTTGGATTGTGCATATGGACAAAAAGAAAAGAAATGAAAATTAAAACTAAAGCTTTCATAAATTTTTAAAAACTATGTTAAGTGGCAGGTAATAAACATGAAAGCAAACAAGACGCGGATAAATCCTTCCCATCATTTACCTAGTTTTCATTTCTCTCCAATCTTAGATGACGACAAAGGACACAATGATTACCCAAGCATTCTCATATTTTCTTTCCTGGGTTCCTAGTTCTGAATGGTGGGTAAGGGTAAATAGGAATGAAAATGACTGCGCTGTTAATATGTCTAAAAGCTGGATAAAACCAAAAATCATTAGGGAATTAATACGAACCCAATCATACTCGAGGAGATACTGAAATCCACAGAGAATGGTATCAGCACAGTCCATACTAACAAATATTGCAACAATATCGTTCTGCTTTCCGCAGTCTCTCTCCCTACTAGCATCCAACAAATTCAGTACAATGCCAGCCAGAGGTGCTAAAATCATGCATCTGTTGACTTTCTCAGTAAATTGACCAGGACGTCTAAGTGTTCTGCAACAAAGATGCAATTCGATAAGGGCAGGAGTAAAAATGGAACTCTGCAGCAAATATATTTTACAATTTTAAAACTGGAGCCTAAATAAATACATGTATAACAGTAAACATGTCTACAACACGTTGAGAACACCCAAAAAAAAGACAATGGAAGCTCAATAGCAATGAAAGGACTATATGTGTATGATATAGCGGAAGTCCAGTAGCCGAAAGTTTAGTTTCTAAACCCTTCATTTTATGTAAACTAATGCCATTTTATAGTGACAGGTATCCTTAACTAAAGATCAAATAATCTGTTGCTTGTCCAATGGGCATAAAAAACAAAAACAGATATAAATGTAGCAACTGGGATCTTCATGCTAGAGAGAAGCAAAATGCATTATACATCATACAGTAACTTACAGGTCAAATAACTCTGGATCAGCTGCAGAGATTAAATGGTTTAGTATAAAGACAATCAATTCGGTCAGCCTCCGCAAGTTTGTATCCATTCCTAACAGAAAAGCTTGAGATATCTCACGAGTACAAAACTCTAATACCCTTGCAAGATTGCAGGAGAGGTCAAATATAACACTACATTTCCTCTGCTGGAAGTCCATCACCTGAAATAATGCAGTCATTTAAAATTTGCATGACGTGGAAAGAAAAGAAAGCAAGATAAATCCTACAAAACCATATGAAATTACCTTGTAAGTTTCTTGCATTTCACGAATTGAAACAGAAAACTCAGTCATCGCCCAACTGAGTGTGTTAAATAAGCGATTGAGAAAAGATGAGAATAATTCTTCATCGCTGACGCAAGCTTCCCGCAACAATTTCTTTTAAAATAGGAACACGGCACCAGAAACAAATTTAATACAAGTGAAATCTAATTCCAGAAGCAAAAAAGAATACGATTATGCTACTTGTACATAAAAATGGTACACAAGGAATTACATAAAATGATGTGGAGGAAAAAGATTAGATGAAAAAATTGACTATGTTTTAAATTGACAAATGGTAGAGTGTCATGTCACATTATGCAATAAATTATGTAAAACTTAATGTACATATAGAAAGATCCAAAAGAATATGATGAAGTGTTGCAGCAACTAAAAAAATGTCATAACCTGAAATATGACTGACGAGGAGGATGACTCTCCACGCTTTGCAAAACCAAAGCCAGAACCCTTGCATAATCTCTGAAGTATGTTGGTCACAGGGATCCATGATCTATTATCAAATGCTGCCAATAAAGCTTTTGGCATCCTTTCTGTTGCAGCTTCATTGCACTCAAAAGCAGCTAAAAATTCCTTGTACTGTACCAAGACAGAAATTGACTGGAGAAGAAGATCCCTCAGTTCAGCACTGGATATCCTCGGATCATTGAAGTGGGTAACGACAAAAGTAACCTGATAAAGAAAACATTAACAAAAATCATCAAAGTAGCTAAAAGTGGATCCTTGAATGGAGAGTAGAGTCTGGGCCAAAGACTTGAACTATAGGGCTAAATATAAGTGTAGAAAAATAATGTTATAACAGAAACATTTCAGCGTCTTGTATAAAAAGACTTTCGAACATGCATTTGGTTACACTTTATAATTAGTAGTTATTAGTTCCCAGTTTGCAAGTTCAGCAAACCGGTAAGCAGATAAACTGTTAACACAGCTCAACTCCAGAATCTTATCTTTTGTTTTTCATCTGTTTCCAAAGGAAGAAGTCCCTTCAACTTATATAACAATAACATACAGGAGAAACAGAAGTTCATAAACGTACAAATGATGCAAGTCCTTGCTTAATGAGCATTGCAGCAGGGACAAATGGAGGGTCACTCTTACGAAGAACATGAAAGCAGTCAACCTGTCAGAAGTGAAGGAAAGAAATTAGGTAAATATTGGGAAGAAAACTAATAAGTTCAGCAAAAGCATGCAATTGTAAATTCCATAAGTTGAAACAATGGATTGAGGTATTGTATAGTTCAATTATATGATTATATTGACGGCTTAAATCTTTTTCCCCGGGGGGGGAGCTTGGCTCGACATGCCACAAAATCATTATCTGGTATCAGCCATTGACTGTATGAACGCCTTGACAACTCTCCAAAGACAAAAAACAAAAATAAAAGGTCTATTTGTAACTCTTCTTGCAAGATATGGTGAAAAACTATCAAGAAATAAGAAAAAAGAGACTGAATAAATCCAAGCAACAGAAAGATATCACTATGCCATTAGACATGAGATATTTACAATACCACGGTTTCCAAATAATATTCAGGAACATAGATGAAGATAGAATCGACTTTGCTAAGAACAAGAAGCAACTGAACTATCCACATGCATGCTGCATACATTCCCCTCTGCTTCCAATGAGAGAAAAGAGAAATGCGACACCTGACAAATAAGACAAGGATTATAAAATGAGTACAGGGTGAAAAGGTAGACGGTTCCTAAAATTTATGCTTGATGACTAGCTCTAGAAAAGCACTTAACAAATGCCTAAATTAAATAACATTAATTGGGATCAAGATCATAAAAATTTAACATCAAGAATAATTATTTGCCCCTGGAGCTTTCTATTGATGTATCCCATATTTGCCCCTGGAGCACTCCATTGATGCATCCCAATCATATAGGAACAGCTAAATCAGTACTTAATCAGAACATTGTTCCATTTGGAAGATTTAAGAGCAACCTAACGAAGCATTACAGAGTACTTCGATATGCTGCCTCCTCCATGCAGTAGATGCGACATGCATAATTTTTCTAGAAGCCCCATCCATCATGCATGTTGATTGCATCACAAAGGAAACACCATTAGAAGTACTTTCTGCTAGATACCATTTTTTAGCAGGAAATTCCAAAAAGGTCTTGGGCAACTAAAATAGAAGGAACACGGAATGAAAGATGAGGATATTACAACGCTTGTTTTCTTGCAATAATTAGAGAATGATTGGCATTGTAGCTTTTTACAAAAGAAGATTTTTTTTCCTTCTTATTTTTTTTGTTTTTTTTTTTTACGGCCTTTAAAAGATTTTTCTTCCCATGGCAGCAAGACCCTTATTGCCCAAAAAAAAAAAAGGTTTTTGGCTACTATTGTAGCATTTCAGCTAAGCCAAACATGCTCTTACTGATCTAAGGTGAAATTTTCATTTGTTTTTAGTAAGTTCAAATTCTCGTACAAATTTTCATATAAATAGAACTATAGAAGTATTATATTGTTGAATAATTCAAACATTGATTATGAGATTCAGAATTACTAAATTGTTTCCCTGGGTTCTCCCAAATCTTCTGTTACTCTCCTCTCTTTTCTCTTTGTCAACGTTCCCTTCTAGATCATATGCACTAAAAAGCTGCCAGTTAGAGCTAGTAACTATGCTAGGCAGCTAGAAGAGAAAGGATTGGAAAGGCACCCGGAAGTGTACCGCAAGTTGCTGGCTCAATGTAGACAATAAGCTGAAAACAAGCTCCAAGACAGAAGAACCAAAGTGCCATACAGCGCTATTTATAGCAAAGAGCAAGGAAGAGTTACAAGGCTCTTGTGATCCCATAAACACCCAAAAACATACGCATATAAGATTTATTTCCTGATAATCCAGAGAACACCAGCTTTGTATTTCAAAGTTAAAAAGGAAATGGAAACAAATGGTGTAATTACTAATAATGAGTTCAACAATGTCCAGTTTAAAATTTCATATTCTTTAAAGAACTGGCAGAATCTGGTGTAATTTCTGTTTGTTTCTAATATTTACAGAACATCTTGGCATCATATTTTGTACTTTCATATTTTTCAGATAGCTTCCATTCCATATTCTAAAATGGTGCTTTTACCATTATGCATTTAGCCCCAAATGAATAATTAGCATACAAATATTCAGTCTCGAAGCTTAAAGGCAGCCAAAGTGAGGATGGATAACAGTCGGCAAAAGAAGAAAAGAAAAGAAAAAATTCAATGTAGAAACTGAAATTAAGGGCATAGAAGGCATGCATCTAAACTGATTAACAGTACAATAGAATCTATCCAATCTGATCACCGTACCAAGCACAATGTCTGACACAATCCATCATTTCTTCTCGATAAAACCCACGAGCCTCCTTCAAGCGCTTCACTTGATCCCCATGAACCCTATCTCTGATTTGTTTATCAGTTTCATCCAGCAGAGAAATTAACTGAGACTGACGAGACATGAAAGACGATGCCTGCAATTAAAATTTTTTCAGATAATTTTAGCTCAAGACTGCCAGTAACAAGTAATGATCATTTTACAAAAGAAAAAACGATCAGCTGTTAAAAAATGCAAAGCTTAGGGCAGAGGTAAAATAATTTCTGCACAAGCATGAATACAAATTTCCTACCAAAACACCAATAGAAAAAATAATACACAACAGCAGCCACTTATTTTTTCATAAAGAAGCAAAATTCCTCCACAAGAATTTTATATAGAAATAATGAGTACGGGATCACACAAGGAGGCAAATGTGGCTTCCCCACAAATTGAAAACCCAAGACCTGATTTCTGCATGCTACAAGTATTTCCTCTTATTGTTGTAGTACACTGTACCCTTAAAAACTGGGAAAGTGCCTCTGCCAGACAGATCAATCCCACCCCACCACCACTGTTCCTAGGGAAGAGAAGGAGTAAAAGGGAAACCACAAAAATAAAAATAAAAATATGGGGGGAAAAGGTTTAGCATGTGCATTCATGTTATTTAACACTCGAATTTGCATTTCCAGATCTAGAATGAAAACATACAGCTCAGGATTGTGACAACAGGTCTTTTAAGAACTTTGGGCAACTGAAAACATCCAGAAACACTAGTGGAGATTTCTGTATTATTGCATCTCTCAGTTCTCACATTGACAATGCAACAACTTGTAGGAAATAAATTATGGAATCTTGAGTTTATCTGATGAATAAAAATTATATCATATCAACAATTTTGCATTCTGATAGAGACCTGAACTGGGGGATCATATTGTTCAAGCAGGAAAAGAAAAGAATTGGAAATTAAACTGTGATTTCACTAAGTTGAATATAGAAAAAAAGACACAGGATATCCCAAGAGCATTCGAGAGGCAATGGACTCTCCTAGTAGACCCTTGATACTTCCATGAAGAAAATTTCTACCCCCCCCCCCCCCCCCCCCCCCCCCCCCCCCCCTCTTCCCACCACCAACCCCCCCCCCCCCCCCCCCCGCCGTAAAAAACCACAACAACCGCCACCACCAAATACAATAACAATACTTATGCACAATCTCACCACCGTTTCCACCCAAAATCATCACTGCCAACAACCACCGCCAACAACAACACCATCGTACACAGCTACTGTCAGGGGCACCACTACCACCACCAGAGCCACTGCACACGAACTGGCAGAACACAAATCGAAAAAAATTCAACCACTCACTTCCAAGAAAAAAAATTCTAGCCCCCCCCCCCCACCCACACCACCATGTATTGACAATTCCTACAGACTCCCTACCCCTTCCCCAACAAACTACTAACAGATTAACAAAATGAATATATATTTTCTGATACTTAGCTAACTTGGCTCATTAACTGATTTGGCTTATTCCTTCCTGCATACGTGAAAATCACCGGAGGCCTATCACATTCACAAACTTTCTTTCCAGGTAACATGTTCATCAGCAGAGTACAAGGCACGTGTTCAGCTCAACTTTTTTAACACAAACTGTTGATAGGCCTATTTTATTCTATTTAAATGGTTCATTCAATTCTCTGTCCACTTCACTTGGAGAATTTCAGAAAATCTAAGTGTCCAAAACTGCAGACAGTCATATCGTGACCATTTTGTGAGCCAGAATGAAGATGGAGAGTAAAAGTTTACGAACCTGCTTAAAGTTAGGTGCAAGACCCAAATGATACAGCAAAAGCATAGCATCTAAAAGTTCCTCCTCTTTCAGGGTAGCTGAAGAAAAATTGTTCTCCCTGGGTAATATCCTCATCTGCTGCATAGGCCGAAAACCAAACTCAGAATCAGATCGGTTGCTTGTACTGGGTTTATCGGCTATCTCGTCATTCAGATTCCCAGTACTACATTCAGCCGTAACATGAGTAGATCTCTCTGGGATAGAGCTGCAACTTCCTCGAGAACCTTTTGTCGAATATCTTATGGAATTCTTAGAAATTTTTGAAAAATCAGCATCATAATTAGAACAGCAACATGGTTTCTGCCCACTGAAATGTGTTACTCTGCTTTCTTCATCATCCATGCACCCTTCTTCCCATCTTACAATTTCTTCCTCCGCTTGATCATCTACAGGATGAAATTTCATCAGATGATTATAAGATCCCCCAAGCCTGGAAATGTCAACTCGATGAGGATCATTCTTCAGAAACAAGCCAGCGCGGAAGCTTTGTTGACCTCCCCTGTGAAGGAAACCAACATCAGCTCCAGAATTAATTCCAAATCCCTTGATCCAGTCATAGATGTCCCCAACAGCAAAACCTTCAGACAAGAAATGGAGAATAATAGTAAACAAAGAAACAAGGACAGAGTTGTTTGAAACTCCCGGAGGTGGCATATTACGGTCTGCACCCCTGCTCTTCAGTAAAACACTCTGTAAAAATGTCCTAAACACTGAACCGGGCAACTGAGGAGGTGTGACAGGCGGTACAAATTGCATGACTAAGCGACAGAGGTCCCTTTGCTTCTCTTCTATCTGAAAAAGGGTCATAAACTATGTCAAAATTGTATGTTCACAACCAGAAAGATGAAAGAAGCTTCAACCTAATATCGGATGATTCACAAGAAATATCTTCATGATGAACGTCGCAAGAATAGGCGGGAGAACCGAAATGGGGCAATGAAAAATTTCAAAGTCAGAATGGAAGACACTATCAATAGGAATGTAAAGAGGAAAAAGCAACGGGCAAAACAAAAATATTGAACAAACTTGAACCATGTGTTTGACTTAAATTTTGTAATCTTCATCTACATACATGTATAATCAATACAGCTACTTTGCTTTGCATCACTCATAGGATTTCTTTATAATTTCTCATATCCAGCAATCAGAAATTAATCACAGATCTATTTTTCTTTGGGTTTCTGTATCAAATGTGACCATGCAGCATCCAGCAGATACAAATTACAGATTTAGCCATTTAGTTTACACCCAGGTATTGGGGATCCACAAAAGCAAGATCCATGGAGAATTGCGGCTCCGTAGAGGAAAGAGCACTAATCATGTGCTATCATGCACATGTACAAAAAGGAGAGAGTTTCTTCTTGTAGATGCTCTTCCTCAAAAATGTTTTCAGTTTCCATTTTGAACAACCACCTCAACCAAAAAAAATAAAAATAAATCCAAATCAGTTAGACTTACTTTGCAAGTTTGAAAAGACGTAATAAAAGATATCTGAAGTCATTAAACATGAGTCAAAAGCAATGTCAAAACTCGGTTTGATACACTATTCTTGATTTGAAGAGCTCAAGCTTGAAAACCATTAATTAAATCTCAGCATGTCCAAGTCTCTAGTGTTTTTCTGTTTTTGCAGTTACCATTTGCTAATAATGAAGTCAGCATTTCATCGGAAAGTTTTGACATCAGAATTTGACATCAGAATGGACAAGATTTGACCAATAAAACGTGTCAAAATTTCCACTCTATTCAATCAGAAGTGTTCAATCGCCGAAAGCATTCACGTCCATATTGTAAATTAAATCAAGCGGGAGCTTGAGCGAGATCAAGTTGCAACACAGTTTTCCAAGACCTTTTTAATTTCCTTTCCTTTTATGGAAGGGAGGTAGTTGAGTTTTCTCAGATATCTAGAAGGGAAATGATAAGGTGGCCTCTTTTATTTGTGCATGTAACAGAAGAAAGTAGAAGTACCATGCAACTATTTATTTAACCTGAAAAGAAAAAAGTTATATATTTAAAAATTCCTTTAACATCATCATTTCATTGACAGCTCTTACTATTATCAATCTTCTGTTGCAATAACATAAGCATACGACCCAAAAATAATTCCACCAAACAAAACCTATGTAGTAAACAACATGACAGAATGCAAATATAACTTAATAGTTAATATCAATAACAGGCAGCTTCTGTATTGTGATTCTAGATAATAAACGAAAGGCTCGAGGCACAGATTAACATTTCACAAAGTCAGGAAAGCCAACCAAATCAGGTACTGTACTGTAAGTGTAAGTGCATGTTTCTGTACATGATTGACTGATATGATGCAGGGCATATGCACAAAAAAGAAGGCAAATTTTTGAATTTCAAGATTAAGTAGATTTGAACAAGATTTTCATTTTCAGGATAAATTGTGTCTTATCTTATCTTGGATAAATGATGGAATTTTTTACTAAGAAGTCCCTATGTTTTTATTGTCAGAGTATTTTGGTCTACTAAGGCATCACGGGAGGAAAAAAGGACTGAAATTAATAATCTCGAGAAGTTTGTAGACATCCTTGATTCTCAAGACAGTCTAATAACTATTTTGTTACTTCAGACCATTTAGAAGTTTCACTGAGAGAATAATTAATTAAGAATAGAAAAAAGAAAGGGATAGAAAGCAGAAGAGAGAGGAAATAAAAATGAAGAAGAATTGCATAATTTTGAAGAGAAACTTGGGAAGAAATTTCAACATACTGACTTACTTAATCATCATTCTATGTTATTCAGAAAATAATAGTCTTATTAATATATAAAATTTCTAACAAAAATGAAAAGTTGCCAAAAACAAAAGGATAATTCTAACTTAAAACTAATAATTACAGAAAGAAATTAAGTTATAATCTATTTTCTATGATTATACCTGAAGTAAGTTCATGTTTTGGAATGTCGGCAATTAAATTCCCATAACAATATCCATCAGTTTCTTTTCCAGTTTCACTATTGAATTTCAAGAAGGCAAATGAGATCTAAACTCTCAAATCTCTATTATTCTCCGGAACATCAAACCTGGGAGGCTGGCACATGTTTTCTTAAATGAAATGATACAAATTTGCACAAAAAGCAAGGCAGGTTCAGAATTTTTCCTATTAGCTACACGTAAACAAACTTTGGCACTATCAGGATAAAAAATGTCTTATTTTAGAAAAATGTTGGTGATTTTATTCTTAGAATTTTTTACATTTTTGGATGTGGTTATTTTAACTTGCGGAAGTCGACATTTGATTTCCTTGGACCACACAAGAACGTATTCTAAAAATTTGCTCACATTGATAAATACATATAGTCCATGGTCTCGTTCCAATGTGATCAAGGAATAGCCTATGTTGTTGGGGAAACAGGAGCTGTATTAGCAATTGTTTCCTTATTTTAGTCATAATTAAATCTGATTCGGTTATGATTGATTGATTGTATATTTAAATAGGAGGTAAATTAGTATGATTGATTGGTTGTATATTTAGATAGGATGTAAATTAGTTATTTCCTTATTCGTAGAGATCTACTTGTGTACATATACATGGCTTTTTAGCCAAGAGAAATAAGATTTCAGTTTATTCAAATTTTCATGATATCAAAGCCAACCCTAAAAAAAAATAAATAAATAAATAAAAATAAAAATAAAAACTGTCATGGCCGCCGAGAAGACCTCATCTTCAGAAATCATCCCGAGTTCTGTCAGCCTTCCAGAAGCCAACGATGGGTCGTCATTCTCCATCACCAGCCACAAATTAAATGGCCAGAATTATTTACAATGGTCTCAATCTGTTCTAATATTTATATCTGGCAAAGGAAGAGATGAGTATCTCATCGGAGAAACAGCCCAGCCAAAGAAGAAAGAGCCCATTTACTGAGCATGGAAGACCGAAAATAATCAAGTCATGTCATGGCTTCTTAACTCCATGACCAATGAAATAGGAGAAAACTTTCTCCTGTACGAAAGGCTGCAAAAATTTGGGAAGCAACGAAGGAGGCGTACTCACATGTGGAAAACACTTCGGAGTTATTCGACATTAAGTGTCTCCTCCATGATCAGCGACGAGAAGACCTCACTGTTACCCAATATTTCAACATCCTCAACCACCATTGGCAGTAACTAGATCTGTTTGAAGAACACAAGTGGAAGTGTCCGGATGATGCATCTACCACAAGAAACTTGTTGAGCAGAAACATTTATACAAGTTTTTAATAGGACTCAACAAAAACTTAGATGATGTACGTGGAAGAATCCTTTCCACGAAACCAATGCCATGTCTCCGAGAAGCGTTCGCTGAAGTAATACGTGAAGAGAGCCGGAAAAATGTCATGATGGGGAAACAAAATGCACTCCACAACTCTGAAACTCCAGCTTCATTACTCAAGGTAGACAGCCTTCCTTCGGCAACGAAAATACAAAAATGAGAGACCTAAATGTGACCACTACCACAAAATCGGCTACACAAAAGACAAGTGCTGGGACTTACGTGGCAGGCCTGATGATGCAAGGACAGGAAATCGCAGGGAAAGCAAGGGAAACTCAGCCATCTCCAACGGAAAACCAGATACAACCGGAGCCTCCCTCTTCAAGAAGGAGCAACTGGAATTGCTTCAACAGCTCTTTGGACAGTAGCAAAACAACCTGCATTCATCCCTAATAGCCACAGGATCTGTGGCCCACAAAGGTACACTCACTCACGCCCTAAATACTGAACGGAAGAATCCAAATGTGTGGATAGTTGACTCCGGGGCCTCTGACCATATGACTAGCAATCCACACCTATTTATTGATCTCAATCCATGCAAAGAGGAATGGCAAGTCCGAATTGCTGATGGAACACATTCACAAGTGGTCGGAATTGTAACAATGAAGTTATCCAAAGATTTAATACTTCAATCTGTTTTATTTGTTCCAACATTAGATTGCAATTTATTATCTGTCAGTAAAGTTACACGTGATTATAAGTGTGTTACTAAATTTTTCAACAATGTGTGAATTTCAGGATATGGAAGTGCGGAGGACGATTGGCAGTGCTAGGGAATTTTCGGGGTTGTATCTGATCACAAGCAACGACGACTCTCCAAGTGGACTAGCTCTAGAAGTAGGTAGTCTAGGTTTTCAGAGTTCATTGTTCAATGTTTCCATTCCCAGTCTAAATAATGAAGCCGTACTTTGGCATTTCCGATTAGGTCATCCCAATTTTATACATCTTGAAAAGTTATTCCCATTATTGTTTAAGAATAAAAGTCCAAGTTTATTCCAATGTGAAATTTGTCAATTCTCAAAGCACACTCGGTATTATCTGTCAGTAAAGTTACACGTGATTATAAGTGTGTTACTAAATTTTTCAACAATGTGTGAATTTCAGGATATGGAAGTGGGGAGGACGATTGGCAGTGCTAGGGAATTTTCGGGGTTGTATCTGATCACAAGCAACAACGACTCTCCAAGTGGACTAGCTCTAGAAGTAGGTAGTCTAGGTTTTCAGAGTTCATTGTTCAATGTTTCCATTCCCAGTCTAAATAATGAAGCCGTACTTTGGCATTTCCGATTAGGTCATCCCAATTTTATGCATCTTGAAAAGTTATTCCCATTATTGTTTAAGAATAAAAGTCCAAGTTTATTCCAATGTGAAATTTGTCAATTCTCAAAGCACACTCGAAGTTCTTTTCCAAGACAATCATATAAACCCTCTCTCCATTTGCAATGTTTCATGGTGATGTATGGGACCGTCTCGTGTCAAACNAGTTCTTTTCCAAGACAATCATATAAACCCTCTCTCCATTTGCAATGTTTCATGGTGATGTATGGGACCGTCTCGTGTCAAACACATTTCTAGATTTCGATGGTTTGTATCTTTTATTAATGATCATACCCGATTGACTTGGGTATTTCTCCTAAAAGAAAAATCAGAAGTTAGCTTAATTTTTAAGAACTTTAATATCATGATTCAAAACCAATTTCAAACAAAAATCCAAATTCTCAGACTGACAATGCTAAGGAGTATTTCAAACATGTTTTGGGAGAATGCCTATTGAGTCAAGGGATTATTCATCAAAGTTCATATGTCGATGCTCCACAGCAAAATGGTATTGCCGAGCAAAAAAAATAGACACCTCCTTGAAGTTGCACGATCCCTAATGTTTTCAACCAATGTTCCAAAACACTTCTGGGGGATGCCATTCTCACTACCACATTCTTGATAAATCGGATGCCATCTCGTGTTCTCAAATTTTGAACTTCATTCCAAATTCTCCTAAAATATTTTCCTTCCTCTCGAATTTTGTCCACAATACCCCTCAAAGTGTTCGGTTGCACCTCATTTGTTCATGTTCACCACCACAATTGTGGGAAACTTGATCCTTGGGCTATCAAATGCATCTTTTTGGGATATTCTCCACATCAAAAGGGATACAAGTGTTATTCTCCTATCACTAAACGATACTATCACTCCATCGATGTTTCATTCTTCGAGAATCAACCTTATTATCCCAATACCACCATTCAGGGGGAGAGTGGATATGAGAAGGAATGTTTGTCTTGGGATATTGAGTCCTCACCAATTCACTCGATCCCTAGTTTTGACAATAACGCACCCGAAGCCGAAGTCCAAAGTGTCAATCCCACTCCTCCTATATCCTCACCTAATCCTCAGTCGTCAAATTTACCTACAAACAAAGAGCTACATGTCTACTCTAGGAGAGAAAGGGCTCAACATCAACATTGGGGAGAACCTCAAAACACTACCTGAACACAACTAAGAGTCCAATCCGAATCCAAGGAATGAAGGTAACACTGATTCTGAAATTTCTAGTGAACCTTGTCAGGATGATTTGAGTTGGCCAATTGCACTAAGGAAAGGAGTAAGATCATGCACTCAATACCCACTTCATAACTATATGTCTTACTCGGGTCTTTCACAGAAATTCCGTGCTTTTGTTACTAGTTTGGATGCTATCCAGGTCCTACTAGCATCCAAAAAGCTCTCAAAGATCCATTGTGGAAGGCAGTTGTTTTTGATGAAATTCAAGCACTGGAAAAGAATCAAACATGGGAAGTCACTGATCTGCCTCCACAGAAGAATCCAGTGGGATGCAAATGGATTTTCACTGTGAAATACAAAGAGGATGGGAGTACTGACAAATACAAAGCTTAGCCCGTGGCAAAAGAATTTACTTAGTCTTACGGTATTGATTACCAAGAGACATTTGCTCTTGTAAGCAAACTCAACACTATAAGAATTCTACTATCTCTAGCTGCTAACCTAGACTGGCCCTTATTTCAGTTAGATGTGAAGAATGCATTCCTAAACGGAGACCTGGCAGAAGAAGTTTATATGAAAATTCCCCCAGGTTTTGAAAATCAAGCTACACAAAACGAAGTCTGCAAACTAAAAAGATCACTCTATGGACTTAAACAATCACCGAGGGCATAATTCGACAGATTTACAAAGGTAGTAAAACCTCATGGCTATTCTCAGTGCCAAGCTGATCATACCTTATTCGTGAAAAGATCACTAGAAGGTAAAATGTCGGTCCTAATAGTGTACGTGGATGATATAATAGTCACAGGTGACTTCGCAGATGAGATGGTTGAGGTAAAGAAGACTCTTGCTAACCAATTTGAGATTAAAGATCTAGGAAATTTCAAGTATTTCCCCATAATGGAAGTGGCAACATCAAGTACAGGAATCTTTGTTTCACAAAGAAAGTATATCTTAGATTTACTCAACAAGTGTGGAATGCTAGGATGCAAACCAGTGGACACTCCTATGGAGACTACTAAAAGGCTCATAATGGCAGAGATGGATGTTCCAATGGATAAGGGAAGATATCAGAGGCTAGTAGGTAGACTCATCTACCTCTGACATGCTCGCCCAAACATTAGTTTTTCAGTTAGTGTTGTGAGTCAATTCATGAATGACACAAGAGAAGAACACATGGAGGCGGTCAATCGGATCCTGAGATACTTGAAGTTAACCCTGGTAAAGGGTTATTCTTCAACAAAGGCTCCAACCGAGAGGTGCAAATTTACAGTGATGCTAATTGGGCAGGTTCAGTTACAGACCGAAGATCTACATCTGGTTATTGTACCTATGTGTGGAGAAATCTAGTCACCTGGAGGAGCAAGAAACAAGCAGTGGTATCAAGAAGCAACGCTGAATCTGAGGTTTGAGCTATGGCTCAAGGCATATGTGAAGAAATGTGGATTAGAAGACTTCTTGAAGAACTCAAAGTAGCATTCAAGGAACCTATGAAGCTTTTTTGTGACAATCAATCAGCCATCAACATATTTAATAACCCGATTCTTCATACCAAAACTAAACACGTGGAGATTGATCATCACTTCGCTAAAGAGAAGATTGAAGACAATGTCATTAAACTTATCTACACACCAACCAACTCCCAAGTTGCAGACATACTCACTAAGGCCCTACCTCGAAAAGGATTCGAAGACCTTAGTTCCAAGCTTGGGATGAAAAATATCTTCAGCCCAGCTTGAAGGGGACTATGGAAATAGGAGCTGTATTAGAAATTATTTTAGCAATTATTTCCTTATTTCAGTCATAATTAAATCTGATTTGATTATGATTGATTGATTGTATATTTAGATAGGAGGTAAATTAGTATGATCGATTGGTTGTATATTTAGATAGGATGTAAATTAGTTATTTCCTTATTTGTAGAGATCTAATTGTGTATTTATACATGGCTTTTTAGCCAAGAGAAATAAGATTTCAGTTTATTCAACTCTTCAGTTGTTCACAACAAATGTCAAAGATTCTAAATGTTTAAATAGAATTTAGAATCCTAGTCCTTTTAGTAGGAGATGTCTATTAGGTATACATATACTCACTTTAATCTCTTTAATTTGGTAGGGTAATATTATGAGAATTACATTATGGTTGTGTGAGGTTCTTGCTTGCTCTCTTCCCATTTGTTCTATATGTTCGTTCTTTCTTCTTCAAGTGTTCCTTGCTTCTTCAATTCTGGCAACGCGATTCCTTCTCATCATGAATTTGAGACTTCAAAAGCCTATCCTATTCCCATAACACAGGCCCAAAAAAAAAGGCCTATTTTTCTAGAAGCTACTGTTCATCGCCCAAGGAACCACCCGGTCTTCTTTTATTTTGCAACCTAAGAAACAGAACCCCAGGCCCATTATTTGCTATATTTAGATCTTCTAACCTGGAACCTTTTGCCAATTTGTTTCAGCCATAAAAAAAGCTGAAAATTAATTCTTCAAGTTTGTTTATTTCCGCAGAATCTTTTAGGCGAAGAAATTAACAAATACTTGCTACAGGTAAAACATATATTGACAGCGCAAAAATAGGTAAAGTGCTCATACATAACATGAGAATGCAATTGAATTATGATAATTTATATTAATTAAGAACTCTAAAACAGTATCTATAAACCAAAAATGCTTTTGTTGAGACAAAGCATCCCTCACTTGAAAACATAATTGAAATATTAGAAAGTTCTGCAAGAAAACATGGATGGTTAATACACTAGTTTTGCTACCTCCACAGAGTTCAAATAAAAAAGAACTCAAACAACATTCAATATGCTTTTTGCTTGAATTCTCTTGGAAAATTAATTTCTCACTATATCAACCTCAAATCACACGGTTAAGACTGTAAAATTACAAGTTCATCTTTCTCCATGCAATCCTCTTGATCTTCTCTCGGTTTTCCATCCTAGTGACATACTGTATGCATAATTTTTCACAAATCCACATAGAATACAAGCCACAAGGCATAGCTAATAGAAGGGCTCGAATGACAAAGAAACATAATGCAGTATTTCTACTAATGGATCCAAGAGAATAAGTCAATGTGTTAAAGGCAAACCTTTTCAATTGCTTCGGATAGAGCTGTTGTCGTTAGCATCATGCTATTCTCATTGGACATGTCCTCATATGAACCAGGCCACCAAACGGAAGGAATCAAACATTGAAGATCATGTTTGTTCGGGCTCTTCCTCGAGAGGAAACCTTCAAACAAGAATTCAAAATCTGGAGACTTCCACCAGAGTGCCATTAAGTCTTCTCGCCTCAAAATGTAGCATGCTAAAGCAAGATAGCTATATGAACCAGAATAAGGACACTCCGTAAGGATCAAAGACTCTGTTTTACACATTGATGAAAGTGCATCAATGGTGTGCTCAAATAATAATCTTGACTGCTCAAATTCAAGAAATGAATCAAGTGCTCTATCCATACTTGTATAGTCATGCGGTGGACGCATTCTAAAGATTTCCATTATGAATGACAAAAAGGGGCCCCATCCTATGTAATCTGCACTACCAGTTTCCACATCCAGAACAGAGAATAACTCTCCACAAATTGCCTGAAAGACGGGATGAGACAGTTCATCAAAGGATGAGAAACGCTTCAATCTTCTGAGCTTCTCAACAGTGTCAAACTCTGCCCTCTTGAGGCGCTGCATCTCCAACAGCCTCAAAAGGCAATTAAATAGATTGGTTGCAAGAAAATATGAGAAGGGAGGAGCCTGAATGGGAAGAAAACCTTTAACTGGATATTTGAATGGGCGGGCCCCGAAATTTAACTCACATCGTTCACCTTGAGAAAGGGAAATGGCAGGATAATAGCCCAATCCAGGCACCATCTTCCGAATCCCAGCAAATGCCACTCCAAGAGACACGCCATTTCTATAGAACAATATCTCATCACAATCCAAGTCTACGCAACATCCAATCACATCACCAACAACCCATGGCTCGCCGTAAGGCTCAGCTTCCTTGTTCCATTTACTGACTCTTTTCCCATCATATGCATAAGAATCATCTGCATCACCAACACCCCTATGATCAGAGAAGGGGCATGCAGCGGTAGCCCAACCCAGTTGCTGTACATCACAAGTTTCAAGTGTCACTTCATACATCCATTTCCCTTTCCATACACATGAATTGGCCCTTGCACTACTGAATAGAGCATGGCTTTCCAAGAGCAATGGTGATTTGACAACTCTAATATCACCACATATGCTCGATTCCTCCAGCCCAATAACCTCGCCAATTGTAGATACCCCATCTCTGTTTCGAACAGCAGTTTTCAATTCAGGATGGTGCTTATAGAATTCATTCTTTATTATAGAGCGAACCACATTAGTATCAACTGGGCATGTCAACAGATTAATAGTTTTGCAAGGGAGATTAAATATGTGCTCAAGAGTTCGCTCCACAGACTGATCACCAAAATCATCACAATACGATACGAGGTGGGAGTTCCCAGAACCTTCTCTTTTGTCCTCTCCATTCAGAACCACGGCCAAACCAGAAGAAAGCCCACCAAGCCGTAGGCCCTCCTCACCCATTGCAGACTACAGCAAGTTATACTAACCAAGTCACCAGAAGACACCTACAAAAACCCCAAAGTTGCTTTGGAAAATCAATCAAGAACCTGATACAGGATTTAGTAATTATAAACCCTAGCGAGCAATCATCCTTTTTAACCTTAGAAATCAAAAGAATCGGCCAGAAATGTCATCCTATGCAGGTTATAAATTGCAACTAAGAAAATCTCACTTCAAGATTTCTTCTTTAGAGCTCATTTTTCTTGACTACGCGTCAGAGGCACAAGAAAATGGAAAGAATTCCAAATGTTAATTATTAACCCATTTAATTCACCTATTGAGGCTTCATTCTTCAGAAGCGAGCAAGAAAAGTACGAATAATTCAATATTTTCAGAATACCTTTTCCGCATTACAGATTTATTTTACAAAATTATTTAATTCCAATTTTTCTGTCTCCATTTCGTCTATCATGACGAACCAATTTCCAAATTCACTACACAAACGAAAGTTTAATAATTCAAACAAATTTCAATCTCCGAACTCAAAATTCTTCATAACACCAATAACCCAGCATTTTACATCGTAACAAAAAAATTTATTGTAATCAATTTAAAGTAAAATACTATCCGCATAAATACCCATGATGTTAATAAGTGACGCTGAGAAGCACTTACAGGCGTATAAGCTGTCTATAAATACAAAGGAGAGCAAAACGTGATAGGCTATTGCCCTAATACAAAAAATTTCTTCCTTGAAACTATAATGGCGGCTTACGAATACTAGTGTTCTCCGAAGACACCATTATTATTGTTGTTGTTAATTTATAGAAAGGGACACGATAATTTAAAGTAAAATACTATCCGCATAAATACCCATGATGTTAATAAGTGACGCTGAGAAGCACTTACAGGCGTATAAGCTGTCAATAAATACAAAGGAGAGCAAAACGTGATAGGCTATTGCCCTAATACAAAAAATTTCTTCCTTGAAACTATAATGGCGGCTTACGAATACTAGTGTTCTCCAAAGACACCATTATTATTGTTGTTGTTAATTTATAGAAAGGGACACGATAAAAAAATAGTCAAGTTTCTAGTTAAGAGAGAGAGCGACAGACGCAAAGTTCGGATTTTTCACGTTATTATTTTCGCAAGAACTTGGGAAGTGGAATCATAGATGAATAGGGAACCAAAAATGAACAAGCTTCACGGGTCAGGCGGGTCCCTCTGGTCAACTTCTCTCCAGTTCTCTTCTCTCCAATTCCAAATTTACTTTTCTAACCATCTCTATAATTTTACTTTTCTCCACAATTACATAGCGCGAGTTTGGCTAATTGTTAAAAACTGGAACATGGGGAGGAAGTTGAAAGGGGTGACGGCTGATGATGTCAGGCAGGGAAACGGGAGAAAACCTTCGGTGCGAACAATCGTGTCGCGATCGGGTGTGGTAGTTCTCCATTTGACGACAATTTTTTCTCGAAAATAGGTCTATCAAAATGAGTTCTGCTGCACGTATATTGGGACGTGGAACCCTCCTCATGTGAGAAGAGTGTATGTTGGAGTGTTACCCTCGATGTACAAATAACATTTTTCCTGCTGAATAGGTACGTTGATATTTTCAAGTTTAGAAGAATATTAAAATTGGGAACAGTGTTGAATCTGATTTTTCTGGATTCGGTGTGCTCGTGTCTTGAATTTGGAGCCAAGAGAGAGTGGGGGAATAATACTTGTGTCCTGACGCACGAAAAATTTAAAATAAAATTATAATGTACGAATAATATTTTGACAGATGAAATGGATAATATTCTTTAACTTTTCAATATTAACTGTATAACATAGACCTTTCGAAAAGACGTTGAAGAATTACTTTGGGCTGTATAAAATAAGTGATATTATTTAAAAGTTATTAATATGTCAATAAATGGACAATTTATTAATTTATTAATAATAACATTAATATTTATTAATTGGGAACACTACATAAATTCTTCATTTAAAAATCACATTTCAAAACTAACAAACTTCTAAAAATCATTCAAAAATAAGGTGATAATTAAATTTATTAAATATTTAATTATAATATAGTATAATTAATCTACTTATTCTATCCTACCTGGCTACCTTCAACCCATCCATTCATCACATTAAACCATTATCTCTCTCTCTCCCTCCCCATCCCACCTCACCTCCGGCGACAGTTCCGACAACAATTTCCGCAACGGCTCCGGCGACTTATCTAGTTCCGACGAATATTCCAACGACCTCTCCGACCATTCTGACGATTATTTTGATGACCACTTACCTTTCCGCCAACTACCTTTTTTCTTTTTCTATTCTTTTTTGGCAATGACCTGTAACTAGTTGCATTAGATCTGTGACATGTGCACATTGTCATCTGTGATTAGTTCTATTGAATCTGTAACATAATCAGGTGGGATGAATATGCATATGATCAATTTCAAAATTAAGAAATAAAGTTCGAAATTTCAAAAATCAAATAATATTAAAATTTTAGTTATGAAATAATTAATCAAAAAAAAATTTGTAATTAAATATATTAAATTCACAATTTTTTTCTGAGTAATAATTTGTGACCTATGTACATTGTGATATATAAAATATGATTTTCAACCTGTGATTTTTTACTCGCGACTCGTAATATAAAATGTGACCTATAAATTTGATCCGTGACTTTTACAAAACAACATGTGACATGTTAATATTGATTTGTGATCCGTTTATACTGATTTATGACTTATATGAAATGACTATAACTTGTGAACTCAAATCTGTGACCTTTACTATGACCTTAACGATGAATTATGACTTGTAACTGTGACCCACAGACCGGTACCACAATCTACCACCTTCACCTCCAACTTTACTACATTCACTAACGTGTTATATGTGACTAATTTTAACCAACTTTGTCTTCAATATAATTGTCTGTGACCATATTAGTCTAATTTGTGACTATATGTAAACAAGTCACATACAGTTACAGTTAATATAAATCGGGTCACAGAAAGTCACAATAAAGATAGACTTTGTAGAAGTCCGAAAAATAAAATGAAATTAGGCTCATATTTTAATGTGACGATCTAGTATCAGGAGTCTAGCCTATAGATGAACATCATGCTCAACCCACATAAGAAATGAAAACTCAATATTAGTCCAATATGTTTTAAAATGAATTTATTTACAATCTTATGGTGGTTCAACGCGCAACCCAAGTTTAGCCACCATACATGTTTTTAAAAATTATTTGATGAAGTTGGACGGTATAATTTATTGTTTATTTCCCAAAAATTGGATCGGACGATAAAAATTTATTTTATGTATAGAAAAAACAAAATATAAAATTGATTTGCATACATGTTATTTTTAAAATGGCAAATATATATTATTATATACGCACACATAACAACTACACGTTAAAAATAACTTTAGATTGAATAGTCAAACAATTAATCTAATTAGTTGGTATAAACAAGTCATTTAAATCCCAAAACTACACAAACGTGATCATAAGTTATGCGACTTAAACTCTTTGTTTTAAAATGCATTCAAGTTCTTTTAAATTGAGTGGAAATGAAAATGCATAAAGTGTAACTTTGATTGTTAAATGCTGCCAACGTTTTTTTTCCTTGAAATTGGGATTGATTTTCCATCTTCTTCAAGTTATTCACATTCCTTTAATTTTTATTATATGCGATATAAAACAGCCCAATAGTTAATACAAATGTAATTGCACTTTATTCTCAATTCCTTAGGTGATTCTACCGTTTTTTAAAGACAAATAAAGTGTAGACATTTCATTTTCTCCAAATTATTCCTATTCCATTTCATACATATCTTTTTATACAAGTTTCACGAAAAAAATAAGGAGCAACTTTGATCATGGAAAAGACTTTCAAAAAAAAAAAAAAAGGAAAAGCATTGGATTCCATCGGGAAACAACATTCACCAACCAACTTCATCGATTCAAAAGCAACAAACAAAGGTAAGTTGAGGTACAAGTGTTATTTCGTTTTCAAATTTGATTTTTCATTAAAAGTTGAATGAAATGATACCTCCGGGTACAGTGTTTCGGCACTACTATAGTTTGAATGATCATTCTTCGGCTCTACGTGTTATGATAATGTTATAGATATCGAATTTTGCCGAAAATTCATCTACGTGCGACGGTATGAATCCATCGTTCGAATTTTCTAATTTGATTATGAAATGCGCCGATGATATCTATTGAGTTTCAAACTCATGGGTTAAATCCCTTTTTACAGGTTGATTTTGTTCTTTTGTTGGGGACGCGGATGATGGTGGTTGAAGATCCAATTTGACATGAAAAAGTCTGTGAATTAACAATTTTAAATTGATTATGAAATATTTGTGTTTCCTATTAATTACTTTTCTATGGACGTCGTTTATGAAACTATTTCTACGAACATTTTATTATCAATAGGTTATATTTAAATATATATATGATCTAGAATTTACTTACGAAACACCGTCTACCAAAAAAAAAGTTAACTAGTTAATATTACTGTTTTCTTAGAGATTTCAGTTTCTACTCAAAATTTAAAAATTCATAACTAATTTGTTACTTCGAATTTTTGAACAAAGCTAATGGTGTTTGATAGCCTCATAAGTTAGCTACTGAATAAACTTAGAATCATGTCAATCCGATGTCGGTAAAATTTTATATGTCACTTTAAGTAAACATAGTGTTGCTATTTTCTGAAAATTCCAGCTTCTGTCATTGAACTTAAAAATTCGTAACTCAATCGTTACTTGAGATTTTTGGATAAAACCAGTGGGAGTTAATAGCCTCATGGATTAGTACTGAATAAACTCAAAATCATGTCAATCCAATATCTATGAAATTTTATACACCACTTTAAGTATGCTACGCTAGGTTACTTCCCAAATCGAGTCACTGCGAGGTTTTGAAAAATATTTTAACATCTCATATGTCACCGACGAAAGATGAATTTTGAATATGTTATATTATGAGAAGTTCCCTACTTTCCCTTAAAGTTTCGTGAAGTTCGACCTAAATTACTATGTAAACGAGTTTACTTTAAAACTTACTTCGCAAAAATGGAAAGTCAAACAACAACATTTATTTTTAAATTCTTGCCTAAAATTTCATGTAACAAAAATGTATTTTTGCATGGATGTCACCTGAAGACATTAGGAATTAGTTTCTTTTGTATTGAATTATGTTGTCATTTATTGTTCGTTTAAAAAAATATTTTTAAATTAAATCTTTATAATTTCCTCTAAAAATTTAGCTATTTTTTTAAGTTTACGGCTAAAAGTATAATTAATCTAGCGACGTTCCGGTCCTTGCTAGTCAGGGCGTTACAGCGTGGTATCAGAGCACGAATTTAGTCGATTCTGTAGACTTAGCGTATTTTTTTAAAAAATAATAATAATTAAAAGATGAGAAAATGAAACATTTAAAGCATTTCATGGCATCTTACATCTATCAATTGACCTCATCCGACGAACCCAAAGTATGGAATAAAATATTATGTTCCACTTTATTTTTCGAGCATGATTTATAAATCGTATAAGCTTGAATTTATGAAAATGCTAATGATATTTAGGATGAAATATGTTATGTAAGTTATATTTTGTATATATATACACGAAGAAATGATGATTAGCTATTTTATTGAAACCCCAAAAGTATAATGTATAAGTTGATATCACTAACAGAGATAATACATAATTGGACACTTATGTGACAGACATGGTTATAATTTATCAGACCGCTAGAAAGGCCACAGCTTGTAGAGCAGCGTTGAACCGTAGGTCTATCATTCAATCCTATGAGAACTTCGTGACTGACCCATCTCGTCCGCTTGTTGAACACATACATGACATTTACAAGAGATGTATGGCAGCGGTAGATGCAGGACTGGAGATCACGCATATCAAGGCTGTAAAATAACCTCATACGCTCACTTCTACCTCAATAGGGAAACATGGGAGTCATGGTTAGGGATGAGATGCTAGAAGGGAAATGTCTCGTGCAAACCAGAACAATTTGATAAAGGATCTCCTACAAGCAGCTCAAGATCTCGGCAGGCTGAATCAGAACCCAACTCCACCTACACCGCCAGCTCCTATTACTCTCTCGACTCATGCCTCGATAGTTGAGTTATTTCGAAGGCATAAGCCCCATACCTTCGATGGAGCATCTGGTCCACTAGTAGTTGAGGAATGGCTTCGTAAGTTAGAACGAATTTTCCGACTCATTGACTGCATCGACGCCCAAAAGGTTTAGTGTGCGGAGTTTATGTTTATTGGTGATGCAAGTTACTGGTGGGATTCAATGTCTCGGACTAGAACCCAGAAGTAGCAATTGGCGTTAACATGGGAACAATTTAAAGAGAAAGTAATGGACAAGTATTTTCCTTAGTCTCTAAGAGATTTGAAGGAAAACGAATTCCTTTAGCTCAAACAGGGGTAATATATCCCTGATTGATTACGAACAAAAGTTCGATCAACTCTCAGGATATGCTCCACACCTGGTTGACACAGAAATTAAGAAGACTAGAAGGTTCGAGCAAGGGTTAAACCCAGATCTAAGTATGATCCTTATGTCACATCGTTTCACATCATATCATGAGATGTTGGAACGAGCTCATACTATTTGGTATCAAAAGCCTAATGCGAAGCAACACCATCAATTGTACAACCAGCAAGATAGAGGGCATATTGGAAAAAGGAAGTGAAATGGTCAAGATAAAGGAAAGGGCAAATGGCAAAATAAGAAGGCTAACATCGGATCTAGTGCCAGCAAGGCCATAGTAGCTATAGTTGCACCTTGTCTGAAGTGTGGTAAACCTCATCATGGTGAATACTTGTATGGGAAGAATGCCTATTTTCGGTGCGGTAAGGTAGGATATATTGGTAAGGATTTCCATATCTTCACTCAAAAGAAGGACAATAACAGTGATCAGAACAAAAAGGGAAAAGCACGAGTCTTTACACTGATTCAGAAGGATGCAGAGGAAAACTCAAACGTAATAACAGGTATTTTACTGATATTCAATACACCTGCTTATGTACTATTTGATTCGGGAGCTACTCACTCTTTTGCATCAATGTCTTTCATCGCTAAATCTAGTATTACTTGTGAGAAGTCAGAAAATACACTAGAATTTAGCGTCCCCTCAGGTAGAACATTAAGTACAAATCAGTTAGCTAGGTCGGTAAATTTTGAAATCTAAGGAAAAACATTAGAAGCTAATTTCTATCTGATAGAGATGAAAGACTTCGATGTAATTTTGGGCGTGGATTGGTTGGGATGTAATTATGCAACCATTCGTTGTAGAGAGATGGAAGTGTCTTTTCAGAAACTAGGAGAAGAGCAATTCTCTTTCCTCGGAATAAAGACCAAACCCCATCTCCAACTAGTATCGGCCTTGCAAGCTGAGAAAATGATGAGAAAAGAAACGTGCCAAGGGTTTCTAGTTAACATCTCAGGAGAAAAACAGACGACAATAAAGATTGAGGACGTACCAGTTGTACGAGAGTTTATAGATGTGTTTCTAGAAGAACGACCTGGTACTCCACCAGATAGATAGGTGGAGTTCACAATAGATCTGGTTCCCGAGTGGCACCAGTATCTAAAACTCCATACAGAATGGCTCCAAAGGAACTTCAGGAGTTAAAATTTCAATTACAAGAATTGTTGTTCGACCAAGTGTGTCTCCTTGGGGCGCACCAGTATTGTTCGTAAAGAAGAAAGATGGAAGTATGAGGATGTGTATTGACTATCGGGAGTTGAACCGTTTGACCATCAAGAATAAATATCCTCTTCCGAGAATCAAGGATTTATTCGACCAATTGAAAGGGGCTAAGGTATTTTCCAAGATCGACTTACGATCTGGATACTATCAGTTGAAGGTTAAGGCAAGTGATATACCTAAGACAGCTTTTCGAACTCGTTATGGACATTACGAGTTCACAGTTATGTCGTTCGAGTTGATAAATGCTCCGACAGTGTTCATGGATTTAATGAATCGTGTATTTCATCAGTATTTGGATCAATTTATCATAGTCCTCATTGATGACATCTTGATATACTTCAAGAGTAAATATCAACATGAAGAACATCTTAGAATGGCGTTAGAAACACTGCATAAGGAAAGGTTATACGCCAAATTTAAAAAGTGTGAATTTTGGCTTGAACAAGTTGGATTCCTCGATCACGTAGTTATTGTCCAAGGAATTGAAGTGGATACAGTAAAAGTGGAAGTAGTAACTAATTGAAATACACCAACTAACGTGGGTGAAGTTCGAAGTTTTCTGAGATTGGCCGGGTACTATCGGAGATTTATAGAAGGATTTTTCAAAATAGCTGGACCAATGACACAATTGACAAGGAAAGGAGAAAAGTTTCAATGGACAGATAAGTGTAAGCAGAGCTTTCAGGAGCTAAAATGGCGATTGATTTTAGCACCCGTGTTAGCTATACCCGAAGGTTCGGAAGGATTTGTTATATTTAGTGATGCATCCAAACAAGGTTTATGATGTGTACTGATGCAACACGGAAAAGTGATTGCCTATGCATCAAGGCAATTGAAGCAACATGAACTGAACTACCCGACGCATGATCTATAACTCGCTGCAGTAGTGTATGCTTTAAAGATATGGCGCCATTACTTATATGGAGGGAAGTGCGACATTTACACGGATCATGAAAATCTCAAATATTTTTTCGCACAGAAGGAATTGAATATGAGACAGAGACGATGGTTGGAACTTGTAAATAATTATGATTGTACTATCCATTACCATCCTGGTAAGGCTAATGTTGTTGCCGATGCGCTAAGTAGAAAGTCAGTGGGACGATTGGCGTCATTACCTACTACTCAGTTGGAGTTTATCAAGGACTTAGAGAATTTACGAATCGAAATGGTTGCCATACCAAAGCAAGTCACCACCTGTTTAGCAACTTTGGTGGTTCGACCTACTCTTAGAGATCGGATCATTGAGGCACAAGGTAAGGACCCTTTCTTACAAAAGATCAAGAATGAGATGGTACTGATAAGAGAAAGGACTTTAGAATAGCTTCAAATAGGGCTCTGATGTTTAAAAGAATGATTTGTATACCTAAGGATGAAGTTTTGAGGAAGGAGATATTGGAGGAGGCTCATATCATTCCATATACTGCACATCCTGGCGGTACGAAAATGTATCGAGACCTTCAAAATACATTTTGGTGGAGGAATATGAAAAGAAGTATAGGTCTATTTGTAGCAAATGCATTGTGTGTCAACAAGTTAAAGCAGAACACAAAGACCGACAGGGTTGTTAAATCCATTAGGCATACCAGAATAGAAGTGGGAGAATATCACAATGGACTTTGTGGTAGAATTTTTGAGATCAGCAAGAGGGCACAATGCTATATGGATAATAGTGGACCGTCTATCGAAGTTCGCTCATTTTCTTCCGGTGAAAATGACATTCAGTCTAGATCGGTTGGCACGGTTGTGCATTAAAGAGATCTAAGATTGCATGGTACCTCGTATCCATTGTGTCTGATAGAGATCCGAGATTTACATCTAAGTTTTGGAAAAGCTTGCAAGTGGCTATGGGAACGAAATTGAATTTCAGTACGGCATATCACCCTCAATCCGATGGTCAATCTGAAAGAACCATTTAGAGTTTGGAAAATATGTTAAGAGCTTATGTTTTGGATCTAGGAGGCAATTGGGAATCGTATTTACCTTTGGTGGAATTTGCATATAATAACAGTTTTCAAGCAACTATTGAAATGACACCGTATGAAGCTCTCTATGGTAGAAGATGTAGATCACCAGTTCATTGGGATGAAGTTGGAGAAAAAAGAGTTTTGGGACCAAAGATCATTGAAATGACAGTCGAAGCCATTGATAAGATCCACACTAGGATAAAGGCAGCGCAAGACAGACAAAAGAGCTATGCAGATATCAGACGAAAGGACTTGGAGTTTCAAGTTGAAGATAAAGTCTTTTTAAAAGTGACACCAATAAAGGGTGTACTTAAGGTTTGACAAGAAAGGCAAGCTACGACCTCGTTATATCGGACATTTTGAAATACTTGATAGGGTCGGAAGTGTGGCTTATCGATTAGCTTTACCACCCGAACTATCAGTAGTTCACAACATATTTCACATATCGATGATCAAGAATTATATGCATGATCTTGATCACGTGGTCAATTATCAATCCCTAGATGTACGTAAAGATTTATCTTATAAGGAATTACCGATTAGAATACTGGATCAAAGGTGCAATGGAATAATCATGGAGTCGAAGAAGCTACTTGGGAAAAAGTTAAAGACAAATATCCAACACTCTTTGCCAATCCATAAGGTAAATTTCGAGGACGAAAATTTATTTAAAGTGGAAGGGATGTAGAAACCCGAAAAATAAAATGAAATTAGGCTCATATTTTAATGTGACGATCTAGCATCAGGAGCCTAGCCTATAGATGAATCTCATGCTCGACCCACATAAGAAATGAAAGCTCAATATTAGTCCAATATGTTATAAAATGAATTTATTTACAATCTTATGATGGTTCAACGCGCAATCTAGGTTCAGTCACCATACATGTTTTTAAAAATTATTTGATGAAGTTGGACGGTATAATTTAATATTTTTTCCTCGGATGGTGAAAATTTATTTAATGTATAGAAAAAATAAAATATGAAATTGATTTGCATACATGTTATTTTTAAAATGACAAATATATATTATTATATACGCACACATAACAACTACACGTCAAAAATAACTTTAGATTGGATAGTCAAACAATTAATCTAATTAGTTGGTATAGACAAGTCATTTAAATCCCAAAACTATACACACACGTGATCATATGTTATGCAACTTAAACTCTTTGCTTTAAAATGCATTCAAGTTCTTTTAAATTAAGTGGAAATGAAAATGCATAAAATGTAACTTTGATTGTTAAATGCTGCCAACGTTTTTTTTCTTGAAATTGGGACTGATTTTCCGTCTTCTTCAAACTATTCACATTCCTTTAATTTTTATTATATGTGATATAAAACAGACCAATAGTTAATGCAAATGTAATTGCACTTTACTCTCAATTCCTTAGGTGATTCCACCGTTTTTTTAAAGACAAATAAAGTGTAGACTTTTCATTTTCTCCAAATTATTCCTATTCCATTTCATACATATCTTTTTATACAAGTTTCACAGACAAAAAATGGTGCAACTTTGATCATGGAAAAGATTTTCAAAAAAAAAGAAAGGAAAAGCTTTGGATTCCATCGGGAAACAACATTCACCAACCAACTTCATCGATTCAAAAGCAACAAACAAAGGTAAGTTGAGGTGCAAGTGTTATTTCGTTTTCAAATTTGATTTTTCATTAAAAGTTGAATGAAATGGTACCTCCGGGTACAGTGTTTCGGCACTACTATAGTTTGAATGATCATTCTTCGGCTCTACGTGTTATGATAATGTTATAGATATCGAATTTTGCCGAAAATTCATCTACGTGCGACGGTATGAATCCATCGTTCGAATTTTCTAATTTGATTATGAAATGCGCCGATGATATCTATTGAGTTTCAAACTCATGGGTTAAATCCCTTCTTACAGGTTGATTTTGTTCTTTTGTTGGGGACGCGGATGATGGTGGTTGAAGAT